GGTAATGCCAACTTCTGATTCTTGGGTTGGGACATGGAGACCACACAAGCCAAGAGGTCCCATTTCGGCCCAGTTTCTTAGCCCAGGACCTAAGTATGCACTGCCTGGACTCACAGGTAGCAAAAGGGACTTTTTTAAATTTACATTTTGTAACCAAGGTTTACATTATATGTTTGTGTCCCCATTCTTTATTTTCTGAAGGTGCTTGGAAGCATGACCTGACTAAATACAAAGCACCAGAGTACAGTTTTGGGATACGCCATGAGCAGTCCAGTTCTGATTGCTCTCCTGGACCTAAGTACCTCATTCCCTCAAATGTCACTCGACTAGGCACAGATGGTAGTCCGACTTTCGTATGCTCTAGTCGTACAAGTGGATCTAGACTTTACCAGACTCCTGGACCAGGTAAGCAATTGCATAGTGAACACAACTCTGTGATTTTAAATATGTCTATTTTCAGTAAATTATTTGTAGAAATATATGCCTGTCCCATGTCTACTTTATGTTAAGATTCAAATTAAACATACATGTGGATATAGATAAAATATTTGTTTCCTGCAAACACTTAACTTAATATTAGAGATGATATTCAGCAGCTGTGATTTACTAAGCTCTGTGACACAAAAAAAAAACAACCATTACCCCTAACCCATCTTTCAGGACCAGCTGCATACGCTCTGCCTCCTGTGCTGGGGCCCAAAACAGCTCCCAGCTTCTCCCTGGCTGGATTCACCAAGCACGGAGGCTTCTTAGAAGACCTGAAGATGGTACAAACTGTTCATTTCTTTTCCCAACTTTATTTTATCATGATGCACCGATATACCAAATCAAATTATTTGTATGTGTATATGTAATTGGTTGGTTGGTTATATATTATTTAATATTTTATTTTCTTAAGAATAAAAAGGTAAATTTAGAAATAATGACTCATTTGTTTTTCCCTCCAGACTCCAAGCCCTGCTGCCTATAAAGTTGTGGACCCTGATGTTTACAAACATAAACTTCCTCAATACAGCATTGTGGGCCGTAACTTTACTCCTGACAGTGCTATAAAGACACCAGGACCTGGGTCACACTATCCTGAGCGGGTATGAAACTAAACAACACTTTAATCAATTATATTATGTTAATGTATGATAGTTCCCCTGAGTATTCTCTTTATAGGTGACTGCTACCAGAGCAAAAACTCCAAGTTTCTCTTTTGGAATCCGCCATTCCCTTTACAGTGCAAGCCTTTTTATTTAATGTACAGTAAAAAGCAAAGCAAAAAACTTGCTGTTTCAAATAAAGGTAAACAAATTGTTTTGCTTTTTACATGCTTTAATGAAACATTTAAGCACAACAGACACTGGTGTGGACCTTGAGTCTGTGTGTACTGATCAATAGCAACATAAACAGACGTGGACAGATAAGTTAGGTCGAAGTTAGAGAAAGCCCAGTGCTTGCTTAGCTTTTTAGCTTCTAGTGGAAAGTGAAAGTGGCAAACTGGAAATCATGGATGGGGTCGTCGCACAGAGAAAAGAAAATAACAAACATGGTTTTCTCCTCAGAAAAATGTGAAACAAAAACAAAAACATGGAAATAGCAGCTCTGCTGTTTTTTTAACACAAAGAAACAGTCTTGCCATAACCAGAGAAACACCACCTTTATTTTACCTTATTATTATTTATTTTACGTATTTTACCTTTCCGCACTTTCCGACCTTATGCTTTCGCAGCCATTATCGTTTACATATACACAAACAGGGTTATGCAATTTAGCTTTCTAAACAAGGCCACCATTTTCTAACATGTCTTTCAGAAAAACATTGCCCAACGTAGCTTTTCGTAATAGAACTTGACAACCATCGTACAGCATTGCTTTTCGAACAGGCTATCAAAGGGACACCACATCCACCATTAAGAGGTCCTTCGGGCGTCTCCGTTGCATAGAAACGAAAAAGACTTATGTGTTGCCTACCTACCTCTGTATCTAGACCCCACTGTTATTTCCATACAGATATTGCCATTTTAAACGAACCGCGAATTGTAGAGGATTTATTTTAACTATACACCGGGGGACTTCGAATGAAGAACATTTTGGCTGCGCCTATTTAGTTGTCGGCATTAGCCTACTGTTAGCACGCATCGGCTCATCGATGTGACTAACGTTGCAGTGCTCACTGGAGATTTTACAGGTGTTATCGTTACCGTCAGCTAGGCTTTGATTGCTGATTAATTAGTGATATCAACCACATCGGATCGCTTCCCCCTATTGAAATCTCAGTAACCTAGCTAATCCTTGTTGATGCCGACACAGAGCCATTGGATGGTCGCTCCTTAGGGAGCATCGTTTTGAGGTATTTATGGTACAAACTCACAATAACTGCAGTAGTGATCTAAGTACTATATCAAAAACGACATCCAGAAATCATGGCTGGTGACGTTGGTAGCATCCCCGAACTGGACCAACAGAAATATGATTCGGACCAACAAGTGAAGATCATCTGCCTGGGAGATAGCGCAGTTGGTAAATCTAAGTGAGTATTACAGCTTACAGTGTTTTACACTTCATATCTATGATACTTTTACAAAATATCGGTTTATTTAAGTACCCTTGCACAGTAAGAAAGTATGAATCATTTATGAAAAAAAAACCATCCGACTATATAGAATTGAATATTGAAAATACATACATTAAAGCTTAAGCTATAGAAAAGTGATTAAGTGATAATTATATATTATATAAAAGCATATATAAGTCGCTCTGGAGTATAAGTCAACACCAGCTAAAGGATGAAAAAAGCGACAGGAGTAGCAGATACTGGTATACAAGCCTAGAGTGCCCTCTGGCTGCTGTCAGAGGGAAAATAACAAACGTGAAATTATATATTTTATCAACTTACTGTGCTATAAATATATTTTATTAATTGACTTATTATATAAGTCACACCTTTGTATCAGTTGCAAAACCCAGCCAAAGGATAAAGAAAGTGCAACTTATAGTCCGGAAAATACGGTATGTAGTCTAAAAATAACTAAAATTCCATTATTTAATAATGACTAATATTCCTCTTTTTCCCCTTCAGGTTAATAGAACGGTTTCTGTTGGATGAATAGTATCCTTTATCGACAAATGCATGCAAAAATCAGCATTTTATGTACTGTTGACTGTTTGAATAAAACCTTAACTCACGGCCCAGTCGTCCTCAGCAGCTGTCAACATATGCTCTGACACTATACAAGCATGTGGCCGACGTAGGAAACAAGACCGTAGCAGTAGGTACGTATTTGAGCAGTCAACTTTGATCTCTCAGATACTTTTGCAATTTGAATAATATGAAAATTTGGGGAAAAAATAGCATTAATTTTATATTAATGGGTTGTGTTTCACAGACTTCTGGGACACAGCTGGCCAGGAGAGATTTCAGAGCATGCACCCCTCGTACTACCACAAAGCACATGCATGTATCATGGTAAGACACACTGTAAGCCTTTAACCTATTACTTTGCCTGTATTCCTTTGATGCCCATGGGGGGTTATTCATCAGGCGATCTCAGTAAACACCACTTACTTCCTTTTTAAGGTTTTTGATGTTCAGAGGAAAATCACTTACAAGAATCTGGCAAACTGGTACAAGGAGCTGAGAGAATACAGACCTGAGATTCCTTGCTGTGTGGTTGCCAACAAAATTGATGGTGGGTTTGTTTGTGACAGCAAGTGACAAATAAAAATAGATTCATTTATTTAAAGAACAATATGAATCCATATATGTCTGTGGTTTGTTTATCATTTGCTCTGGTTTTTTTTTTTGTACAGCTGATTTAAAGGTGACGCAGAGAAGCTTCAACTTTGGAAAAAAACAAGGACTTCCATTCTATTTTGTGTCGGCGGCTGATGGGACAAATGTCGTTAAGGTCACAAAATACACTAATATATTCTGAAGTTATTTAGTACACACACATAGATAGATAGATTAATCACTGAGAAATGAAATGTAAGTACTGTTTGTCATGTTCACATAAAAGTGGGTTTATTGGACTGTGGTTTAGCCTCAAATAAACTCATGAATATGGCAGAAAGCAGAACGTTGCTATTTGTCTGTCCCAACAGATGTTCAGAGACATGATCAAGAGAGCGGTAGACTACAAGCAAAACCCAAGTGACTTCATGGACGAAGTCTTGCAGGAACTAGAGGTACATAACCACTCAGATTGAGTCCTGTAATGTTGTGCATCTCTAAAGGATGAAGATGTACTGTGTTCTCTCACTATATCGCGGTTCCCCTTTCATAAGTCTCCCCTCAGTACATCGCGGATAGTCTTTTTGAATCCAATCTTTTTTTTTTGGCTTTAAAAATGTGGATTCTGGTTTTGAAATCGAGATTAGCGCATTTGCGTACAATCGCTGGTTTACCTAGGCAAGATCATACACAGCATACTATTAGCTAATACTATTGCGTACTCTGTGATTGGCTAATTGAGCATGCTCATGTTCCTCACTCTGATTGGCTCATGCATTGTAGCATCTCTCAGCATCTCCCCTTGTCTGTCGACCACTCTCTCGTACACTTCACTCTGTGTCGCCATTCTACAATTCTACTGTGCCTATAACTGTGTGGGAGTAATACAGTCAAAGTAGGGTTGCTAACAGGTTTGTAAAGGGTAAATATATACAGAAATAATATAATAACTCGCCTCTACTTTGCGATATACTAGGCTAGGCTGCAAGAAACCCACGTCACAGTCTTACGCTTGAATGTACAAATACTAATTCTTGCTGGTGAATGTTCACTCTTACAGAGCTTTCAGCTGGAGAAGATGGAAGAAAATGCAGAGGCAGAAGATGAAGAGCAAAAATCAGACCAGAGTACAGAACTCCTTTGACACATTTTAAAGAAGATCCTAAGCTTCCATTTTATCTCATTTGTTTTTATCGTCTTCTAAAGCCAATTGTGCAAATAGAATATTACGTTAGTCAGAATACTGTTTTTTTAGTGATGGAAAACATCAACTGACGTGTATTTTTATATGATTCTTATCAGTTTTGTCGCTGCAGTGAGGCAGATTGGACCAAACAGACCGTATGACTTTCAAATGTCCTGTGAACCTGCAGATCGTAACAAACGTAAATTATTTCTGTCCAAACTCTTCTTAAGTCTTCAGGTACACACAGTGACTTAAAGGCTTTAATTGTAATTAAGAGATTCACTTTTAATAGTTCTAACAGTTGCTATTGAAGAAACAATTTTAAGATGGCTGCCCTAAAGGGAGATGAATTTGGTCAAATAAGGATTTTCATTATTCTTTTCAGCATTACATTTACATTTGTGAAGCTTTGTTCAATTTTGTGCAGTAATGTAGAAACTCCTACAACAGATGTTGATGCTCAAAGGAGAATCATCCAACATATACACAGTACCATACCCTTCATTTGCCGTTTTTATTATTTTCAAGTGTTACTTTAAACACTTGAATTACAAAGCTGAACGGGCCGCATCTGGTCCCCGGGCCTTACTTTGCCCACGCCTGGTTTAGACAGATTGTTCCCTAAATGTTAAAAGAAGCATTTTTGTATTACCAAATGTGAATGTGAGCCATTAAAAACAAATGTGAATGCTAAAACTGTACGCGTCTTGTATTGTCTACAATGAGTGGAAAAGAAAACATCGATGTTTGATTATAAATTTATTACATAATATAACAAACATATATCTCTGTGGTGGACCTATCCTGTGCAACATCTCAGGTCTGGCCTCAGCCTTCACTTTCCTCTTTTCCCCATCTGCATGAGGTTTTTCTATAGGTAGTGTCTCCATGACTTGTATTTCAATTTTTGAGAGATAGCGTATTAAAATAAAGGGAGTTAATAATTCACACCTCTAGTGGTGGCATGTAGAAGAGCTGTTCTTGATTTTGTATTGGTCTTCAAAGGCAGAGAAGAGAGGAGTTCACCTGTGAGACAAGGCTGAGATGCGCAGTGATACATCCACCGTTCTAAACTTCACAGTGCAAACAAGGAGGAGAAAAAAAATGCTTCAATGATAAGATCATTGGTTTCAGTGGGTAGACAGACACCAGTGGATTTCCTTATTAAAAGCTTACACTGCTCCTCCTCTACACGCCTCGATTGTGCTTTGTAGGTTTAAAAAATAAGACAAAACATAACTCCTCGTCACATGTTTGTACATATCTTGATGATAACTGTGTCTGGTACTTCTTTTTTTTTTTTTGGTAAACTTGTACAACAATCCGGGAAGAATTGTCGACGCTAGGGTGTGTGGGTTCCAGACCGTTCTGCTGTTTGTAGGGGGACTGTTGCGATTGATTCCAACTTTCGTTACAGTAAAGTCAAAACTGTTGAACTGTGATACTTTTAACAGAAAGTTTTAACGTAAATGAGTTGAATGCAATGCTCACTCACACAGATATACATATATATGTATGTAAATATATACATACAGTATATGTATGTATACATTCATATATATGCATGTATGTATACAGCCTAATTCCACCAAAACTAATAATTGATTGTATTCCCTTCCGAGGAGATACTGAAGTATCTAAGAAGCATCTGTTCTCAAGATTTCCAGGAAATGGCACCATTATTATTGAGTCTAATAGCTCAAGAAGGCTGTAACCTAGATAGTCCTAAAGCAAACAGAAGTATACAGTTTATATATATTTGGCACATTTTTTACGCTTGTGTCATTTGTTCCACACAATATCACTTCATATAAAATAGCTATTCCAAAGATCAAGAGCGTGAAAAAAAAAGGAAAAGAGTGCTCCTAGATAAGCAGTGCGGATTAAACCTATGGGAATAAATAAATTAAAAAAATATATATTTATGAAAGGTTATGTTCTGAATCCTGGTGTAACCTCCAATCCCTAGCCTTCCACCTCTGGCAGGGCAGTCTGCTTTTAGAAACATTTTGTTCATTACACAACAAGATGAATAACAATTTGGTTCGCTGTAGACATTTGCTCTGCTTGTGGATGTTTTTTTTTTTGTATGTGTGTGACAAAACCACTGCCGAGAATCTCCGATTTTAACTTTGCAAGGCAATTGTGGGTGTACTCCGACCATGTATACCTTAAAAAGTAAGCGTATACATTATCACATGCAAGATAATGCAACTATTCCCCATCCCAAACAGTCAAACGGAAAATTAAAGACAAATCAAACACGCTGCTTTCAACACACCACATGACTGTCGCACATAGTTTTTTTTAGAGTATACAGATGCACGCGTATATATTCTATGTGTGGCTGTTAGTGTTAGCACCTTTTCACCTTGTTTTGTGCAAATTCTCCCCTTAGTTCATAGTTTGGAGTTCAAAAGTTCAAGAGTTTTGTAGAAAGAATAAAATCTGATCACTTTTCCACGGGTGGTGTACTATGCTTATATGCCAAACACACACACACACACACTCTCTCTCTCTTTCACCCACACACACACACACATATATAGTATATATTTGTAATATTTTTAAAAAATGTATAAGAAATCTATCATATATACATTGCCTGTGATTTTATAAAAGGAATTATTTGTGGTATCGTTCATGTTTACAAGTGTCAGGTTCGTTTTAACGGTCAGGATACAGTAAGTGTTTCTGCCACTCTAAAGTTCATGAGTGAAAATTCAAGAATAATGTTTTACAAGCTACAAATTCTACACACAGTGTTTGAGGGTAAGGACTCAACCAAAAAGAAAGAAAAAAATAGGGAAATGTAAAATGAATTTAAAGACGTAGCTATGCAAAGGAGAAGAATCAATGAAGTCACAGTGAGGCAGTGAGTGCTATTCCTACAACCCAGATCCCAGGTTCCCCAGCATCTCAACATGTTTTAAAAAAAGAGGGGATAAAAACCTAAATAAAAAAAAGGCTTCTTTTGTTGTGAGAATAAAACTCACTGTTTCTCACTGCCAGCAAAAGCTACTGGTGAACGGAAGTACAAATATTCTGCTTGTTATTTATTTAATTTTAAATTCTCAAATGAACATTTTATAACCTGCCTCCTACTGGTTGCTGCTGGTAATTGCAGTACTGTAATTCTACAGGGACACAGAACAGGGAAGTTGCAGGACACTGCAAGGTGGCGGTAGATTACATTTATGAGACAAAGTGCATTTGTTCTAAACCCTTCGTGTACCAACACAAATAATAGACTCTACATTATTTATCTGTAAACAAGTCGAAGATAATATTGCCACTTTGACCCCCGTTCTACTGCTGTTCATTCTTTTGTCGACACATTTTTACTTGTAGAGTTTATTCGGTTAAGCTGCAGTTTCTGACTTTTGTAAATAAATATCCTAAACTAACCTGTAAGTTTACAGAACAAAAACGATAAAACTAACCATACATTTTTAAGTTTCAATGCAATGTACACAGTGTAAGATTCAGGTAAAAATGATCTTATACTTTTATTCTATTATGTGGAGATATGATGCTTCTGGGAGTGTTTTCTTAGTTACTAAAGGCTGCAATATGTTCTCTTTCCACCATATGCCCTGGGCAAG